GTCATGTATGACAGAGATAGAAGAGCGCCATCGGAGAGGAGCGCCATCTGGTGGTGACAGTCATGTATGACAGTCAGTCACAGTTGCAGTCGTCAGAATAAAATAAAAAAGGCATAGGAATGCATAGCTAGATTCCTATTGGCTATTTCACTTTGCAATAGCCAATAGCAAACTAGCTATTGCACCCGCCCGCTGCTGCTTTCAATCACCAGAAGAGGACCTGATAGAAAAATACAGGTCCCCCTCTGTTGATTGACAGCAGCGGGTGCATTAGCTAGTTTGCTATTGGCTAAATCAAAGTGAAATAGCCAATAGGAATCTAGCTATGCATTCAATGCCTCTTTTTTCTTTTCTCACTGACGGTCCGGCCGCGGCTCCCGATGTCAGAAAAAAAAAAAACGATCGCAGGGAAAGGGTTAATCTGCTCGATCGAGCAGATTAAACCTTTCCGGGAGGAAGTGTTACCCGCCTGGGAGCTGCTATTTAATAGCAGGAAACTCCCAGAGCGTTTGGGAGAGTTGGGATGTCTGCCTGTGCCTAGGCACTCCTGATATCACTGCACTTCCTGTGTGTAAGCACTCCTGATATCACTGCACTTCCTGTGTGTAAGCACTCCTGATATCACTGCACTTCCTGTGTGTAGGCACTTCTGATATCACTGCACTTCCTGTGTGTAGGCACTCCTGATATCACTGCACTTCCTGTGTGTAGGCACTCCTGATATCACCGCACTTCCTGTGTGTGGGCACTCCTGATAACAGAGCACTTCCTGTGTCTAGGCACTGCTGATCTCAGGGCACTTCCTGTGGGAAGGCACTCCTGATATGAGTGCACTTCCTGTGTGTAGGCACTCCTGATATCACCGCACTTCCTGTGTGTGGGCACTCCTGATAACAGAGCACTTCCTGTGTCTAGGCACTGCTGATCTCAGGGCACTTCCTGTGGGAAGGCACTCCTGATATGAGTGCACTTCCTGTGTGTAGGCACTCCTGATATCAGGGCACTTCCTGTGTCCAGGCACCCCTGATATCAGGGCACTTCCTGTGTTCTGTTCTGTATCCTCAATACCTGTATATCTTCAGTGTGAGTTCATCTAAGGCCCTGCTGATCCCCCCAGATTTGGAGTGAGATTTGGTGATGTCACCTCAGTGCTGCTCACTGTTCTCCTTGCTGGAGGGGAAGCCGCACCTGAGAAGCTGCAGGACGAGGAGCTCGGGGATTACAGAGCTCGTCCACTGTTGTCACTATCAGGAAACCCTGCAGGCATTCCCCGCCCGGCAGCTGCATGCAAGCAAAGGGGAGGGTGCTGGTGCTGACATCATTTATTATTATTATTATTATTATTACATAGTATTTATATAGCGCCAACAGTTTGCGCAGCGCTTTACAATATAAGGAAGACATTACAGTTACAATACAATTCAAGACAAGATGGTAAGGAGGGCCCCGCCCCTGGGGGCTTACAATCTAAAAGAGGAGGGGGAAGTGATACATGAGGTTTACCTTATAAGGCCACCAAGCCATATAAGGTCAATTACATCACTACACCCCGCCCCTTTGCTTATGTCAAGCTCTGGACAGGGAATTCCCCATCCGCGACTGATTGGGTGGCACTGAAGAAGCATCTCTCCATGTTCGGGAGGAGCTCCTTTCCAGTTCAGAGAAGCTCAGGTTCCGTCTGATCCCTACACCTGACGTGGAAGGGGATACCGCATATGTGTGCGCTATAGAGAGCATTTTTCATTTTTTTTTAGCCCACCTAAACCCGCTGACTCAACCCAGATCAATCCCTGATGTGAATAAGCCCCCCCCCCACTTTTTCCCCCCCCTTTTTGGGGGTGGGATTCCTCC